ACAAGCTATCCCCAAATTTGGGGTCTTCAAACACCACTGATTTTTGTGGTTCTGCAGCAATTATTTTATCACACATGGAGTTGACTGGGATCACTCCTGCAGCTGTATTCAGCTGAGAGCTTGGTTGGGACACATTGGTTTGTCACATGTCCTCTTTCTTTAGCAGGATAGCTAAGTACCTCTTTATAGATGGCAGTAAGACCCTTAAGAGGGAGTGAGCTGATGTATAAGCCTCTGCTTGTAATATATTTGCAAATATTCCACTGATCAAGGTGAATACATGACCAAGTCCACATGGGAGGGAACTTTAATTGGGTGTGAATATTGGGAGTTGTGGTTAATTGGGGACTATCAATGTGTCTGCCACAGGCTGCTACTTCTCTCTTAATCTCTGTTGGCCTCTACCCTTTTGTCTGGTAATAAAAGTCCTTATTTTTAATGGGATGCATGGCCACCTAGAATAAAGAAAGCTTTTCCTATTCTATTAGTAACATTTATCAAATTGTGGCTGGGAAGCTATATCTTTGAGGAATAGTATTCAAGCAGAAGTGTCATATGGGACTTCCGAATGGTGTCTTTATTATGTGTGTATTGCTGTTGGACAAACTTTCGCCAAATCTGACAGCTTAAAACAAACAAACAAAAAAGACGCTTTGTTTTCTCACACAGTTTTTGAGAGTCAGGGTTTGGGGTTTTGGGATATCTACGCTGGGTGACTTTGATTTAGTGTCTCGTGTGATTGCAGTCAAGATATCCAGAAGGTCTGTAGTTACTGAGATGTTGATTGAGGCCAGAGGATCAATTCCAAGGTAGTCTCAGTGCCTCACTGACTGTTGGTAGGAGGCCTCAGTCCCTTACCATGGTGATCTCTCTGTAGGGCTGCTTGAGAGGCAGCTAGCCTCATGCCATTGCAGCCTAGCTTCTCCTAGAGTGAGTGAGCTAAGAGAAAGAAAGAGAAAGGAACCAAAATGTGTTTAATGACCTAGCCTTTGAAGTCACATATTATAACTTCTGTGTTCCTTTGATCACACAGATTAACCCTGAGGATTGGGGAGGCACTATACAAAAGTGTCCATACCAGGAGGCGAGGAGCAGCGGGGGGCCATCCTGGGGCTGCCTACCAAAGCTTCCTTAAAGGTAACGCTTAAGTGTTTCTTCATAGTTTGGGTTTTGAGTATTTTTCAATATTCTAAGCAGTTATCTGAGACAAAGCTGAGCAAACCAAATTCTATATAAAATGTTCTCCACAGTATAGCTAAGCTCCAATTTTTTGTATGTTTCCTTCTTATGATAGGAAAATAGAAAAAAATCATTTCTTACAAGTGAAAATTTGTTATGACAATATTAACTGAGAATTCTGTTCTCTAACCTAGTAGAAATGTTTCTGGATTGCTTGAAAACACTTAAGAAAACATGGCCTAAAACAGAAACATTGCTGGCTTATTTATATTCACTGCAGAAATAATTATAGATCATTGTTGGCAAACTTATTTTTTTTTTTTAGAATAAACTACAAATGGGGCAGTATAAACTGTGTGTGGTATGGAAATGAATTTTCATATTGACCAGTTTGGCTGTTGCTTCCTGCTATATTCATGGCAGAGCTCTTGGTTAAATCCTGTGTTTAGCACAATCCAGGAAAATACTGTAATTGTTTACGTAATTATTAAAGGGAAAGTCATATCTTATCTATTTGGCACAATGGAACGTTTGATGATTTAATTCTATCAGTGGATCAAAGCATTGGCTTCATGTCAGGGATTCATGGTTTTAGATTTCAGTTTGTCCTTTCCTTAATTATGTGTCCTTCATATGCTCTCAGAGGCAGTTGCCTCATCTGTAAAATGGGAGTAACATCAAATTCACAGCGTACTGTTGTATTTAAGGTAAGGTACATAAAGCTCACTGTAAGCACTTGATAAATGGAATTGTTGTTAGCTCAATGTTCTTTGGACATTTATTAGGATTAGTGCCTTTGGGAATGCTAAGCATATTGTCTAATAAGACCTTCACTTTAAGGCTACTTATGTGTGTGTTGTGTGTGTGTGTGTGCGCGTGCGTCTGTGTGCTTGTGTTTAAAAAGAAGAGATTAAGCCACTGAGGAGCTAGAACTAAGAAAGTGTATTTCCATTTTGAAAGCCTCTTCTATTGTAAAATTTCTTTTAGCAACTTGAGTTGTGTTAATACAGACAAATAACTAGAAACAGTCCATTCATCCATATATCTAGCCAATTAGTTATCCGACATTTATAAAGTCTTCATTATGTGGTGAGCAATAAAAATGCAAAGAATAAGATCTTACCCTACCTTTAAGGGTTTCACAATCTAATAAAGATTTATATAAAAGAGACATATAAACATAAAGCAGTGTTTCAGTTGCCATATTTATAATGAATCAGTTATTAGTTGCTTATGACACTACATGCTTGCACAGGAAGAAGCACTTACCTGATCAGGAGAGGATCCCTAAGGGGTTGATGTTTCATCTGGGTCTTGAAAAGTGAATAGTTTGTTAGATGGCTAAGGAAAGAACTGGGAGTGTCATAAGGAAAGACAGGACTTTCTGGAGAGAGTCTGTGCCTGTGAGAAGATAAAAAGGATCAGAAAAACATGGTGTATTCTAAGGAACCTCTGTAGTTTGAAATGCCATAACTATGGAGTGCTTAAGGGTGGTGGTCAGGGCAAGGCTGGAAAGATAGGAAGGGCCAGATTATGAATAAGTTTGTATGGCATGGTAAAGAAGATAGACTTTACCTTGTAGATGTTGGTGAACGATTACAGAATTTTTAAGAGGGAAACAAACAGATTAGCATTTCCACTCTGGTGGCAGTGGAATACAGACTAAGGGATTGGGAAGGAGGAATGAAAATATGTCTGACTGGCCTGTGTATGGGGTGTGAGGTGGGGAATGAGGCAGGGATGAGAAAAACTCTTCCTCTAATAGGAAGAACTAGTAGTGGAGTTCTAGGAAGAACTCTAGAAAGACACTTTTGGGTTTTGATTTGGGTGACGGAGGAGATAATGTATACCATTTTGGACATGACAAGTCTGATGTGCTGGGGGTAATCCTAGTGGAGACATCCTGTGCTTGTTGGATGAATGTAGTTCAGGGATGGAAGGGGCTGGAGAGGCTGTAAGTCCAGTCCCTTTTCGTCAAGCAGCTGCATGTACACAGCATTGAATCTGGCTCTCAGAGTGGAGCCTGCTGCAGGCAGAACTCTGAGGTCGATGCCGTTTTACCACCTCCTTACCTTTTAAAATACATTACTGGCTGCTTGTTTTCTGACTCGTGTCTACCTTTTTAGTCCTACCTTCTACTATTTATTTTTGTATTTGTCTTTTATCCTGGTTACTCCACACAACATGCAGTTTTATGGATAGTTTTATACTATTTTATGAATCCATCATGCTATCCAAGTTCAGTGAGTTCACAACTGCCTTCTGCTTTAAATTCTCTTCCCACTTTTACATCGCACTGAAATTCCGCTTAATCACTACTTTCTCTAGGAAGCCTGCCTGGGTTCCTTGTCTTTTTAAGATAACTTTTTGTTCACAGTTCTTAAGTACACAGCATGTTGGACTTTATATCATTCCAGGACAGTATTTACAAATATTATGTAAGTTTAACATTTTATGTAAATGAAATTATCTGTTGATTATTTACAGTATCCCATGTCAATGATTTATGTGATTTACCTGTACATATGAATGGGAGTATACTATACTTATTTTTTAGACATACTTTCTGCAACAAACAATATATCATAAATGATTTTTACGTTAGTAAATATATGGCTTCACTATCTTTTATAGTTGTATGATATTTTTAAATTGTATGCATTTATTATATTAATGATTTTTAAAATAGTACTATTTTCTGATCTCTCCGTTTTAAAATTTACTTATCTATCTTTTCCTGCAGATTGTCAGGTCCTTGCTAGTAGGAGCTAAGTTTTGTTGGAAGGCAATTCTCTGGATTGCTTGTTTCCTGCACATATTGAGAACACAGACTCTGATAGTCTTTGTGTGGGACATTTTTTAAAGGATGTTTGTATACTATAAGCCCTAGAAGCTATAGTGTCTTTCTCTGAAGCAGAGAGCATGCATGATTACTAAATAGCATAATAAGGATAATATTCACCTTCAGAACAAATGTTGGACACGTTTGCTTGCAGCCTATTATATAAGATTTGAGTGTCCTGGGCTCAGAGTGCCTTAACTGTGACCAAACCCTGGTGGGACTTTAGCGGATGAATGGAACTGTGTTCATCTTACTGGCTATGCTCTAACAAAGCCCATTGTCTGATGTAGTAGTCTAGTGTCTTTTCCAGCATCCATGATACAGTGACAGGCTCTTTTGTCAGCTTGCAAGTAGGGTTGAATCTCACACTTTTCAGTTTATATGTCAGTACATATTGTTACTATTATTATTATTGTTTTAAAAAGTTAGCATTTATTAGTTGCTTTCTATGGGCTAAATTTTACATGCATTTTTTTTTCTTTTAATTATCACATAACCATGAGTAGAATCTTATTTCCTCATTTTATAGATGACCAAATTTTATGGAGATGTGAATAACAAGATCATGTCATTAGGAAGTGATGGAGTTGAGAATCAAATTCAGGCCTTGAAGTCCCAAACTTATTATTTTGCATATCAGTACAGAATAGCTGTGCGGAGAAATCATCCCAGGGATTGTTAGTACTATCATTGCGTTAATTTCTTTCTTTCTTTTCTTTCTTTCTTTCTTTCTTTCTTTCTTTCTTTCTTTCTTTCTTTCTTTCTTTCTTTCTTTCTCTTTCATTTTCTTTCGTTTTCTTTCTTTCTTTCTTTCTTTCTTTCTTAGAGATCTGAAGTGATTTTACCTTTATTTCCTTCACTTTAAGCCATTTATGAAATTTCACAATGATTTCTGGGGTGGGGGCAGAAGGAAGGTGATGTTAAGAATCATTGGGGCTGTGGCCCAGTCAGTCTGCAGAGGTTCAGTCAGGGTGGGCTCTCACTGGGGCGGCTGGAGGAGCACAGACGGCCCCGCCGGCTGGTAGGTGATGTTCTGAGAGTGTGAGAGCTGGTACATGATGCCCTCCGCAGCTTCCAGCTTGTGCGGCTTGATCATGCCGTCCCCTGAGGTGGTCAGTGAGTTGGTGATCATCTCAGCTGCCTTGGAGCTGCCCTCAGAAGAGGTGACAGCCATCTTTTCCTGCTGCTCAGCCTTTTCCACCACAAATCTGGCCCTCGCTGCTTCCTTCTGAGCCACCTGTTTGGCTTCCACCGCCTCTGTGAACTCCTTCCCGAAGGTCAGATGTGTCAAGGACACGTTGTTCAGGATGAGCCCAAAGGTGTCTGCTCGCTCGGTAAGGTCGTCGCTCATCTGCCTGAAGACCAGCTCTCTCTGGGTGATTAGTTTTCCAGCATCAGAGTGAACCACCACTGGCTTGAGGATTTTGGTCGTGTTGGATGGGAGCACACGCTCATCATAGTCCTCTTCGATGCTGGTGAAGATGCGAGGAAGCTGGCTAGCAATGGGTGGGACGAGGATGTGCAGTGCAGTGTTGACATTCTGTAAGTCTTTGCTACCAGCGACTGGTACATTACATTTCCGAGATTGGCAGTCAAAGATAATTGGTTTCTGTACGCATGGGATGAGAAGATGAGAAAGTGAGTCCCTTCCCCTACCACAATGTCCTGTACTCTACGGAGTCGGTCAAAGATGACAGCTCTGTGCCCAGCATCCACATTATATAAGGCAGAGTTCACCACATCTCCTGCAACAGCTAAGGCCAGGCCAAACTTGCGGATGGACTCAAACACGCTGGTAGCCATGTTTTCTTCTGCGGGACCCTCTCACAACCTGCTTCCACCGTGACCTCCACACGGATTCCCCAGCCACGCATACTGCCTGGGTTAATTTTTTAATCCAAGTGGGTGAATTCTTTGGGTTAAAGAAAATAAACACAGGGAAGAGGGACCTTTGTGCACCAGGAGGCCTTTCCAACCCTCCTCAGAAAAGATGGCAAGAGATAAATTCTATATATATACTCAACCACCTGAGGGAAATAGGATCTACATATTGGACATAATCCTTGCTCTCAAGGACCTTGTAGTCTTGTTTGGGAGTTTAAATTTACTCATAGTAAGCAATAAGCAGAAACTAAGATAGTATTCAATTAAGCTCCACATTGAATGATTCAAGCAGTAAGTTAGTTATCAGTTGAGAGAAAGCCATGAACAATCAGGGATGTATACATTGGGAGAGATTTGTGGAGGAGGCAGAGCTTGAGTAGAGCCGGGAAGAAGGAAAGTCAGTTCCAGGTGGAGTTAAAAAGCCTAAAAATTCTTGGAGAAAATAACATACTTGATTTCTGTTCCAGTAAAAAAATACTTCTCATGCCTAATTTACTCCTTATATGGAGAGAACAATTTTGCAGTGTCCTTTAAAAAAATCACAGTATGTAGCTACACACGCACGTGCACACACACACACACACACACACCATACACAAAAAAACAAAAGAAACAAAACCCACCATGCTATTTTCTCATTTGCACTTAACTCAGAGGTTATGAGTCTTTTTTCCTGTTGCGGATCTTGCCACAGGCTCCTGACATTCTTAACTTGATTGGATCCCTGCAGTGCAGTCTACTTCAGACTACCTTTTTTAGACCACTTGAAAGTTTTTCGATTTATTCAGCAGAATATATCAGCCTGTCAGCTATGGAGAGCTAGTGCCTGCGGAAGATATATCTTTCCTCTGCAGGTGGCACTGGCTGCCAATTTTTCTTTGGGGTGAGCTCTTGTTCGGAAGCAGCCCTTTGTGGTTTGAGTACCAGTCAGTCACATTGCAGTTGATCTCTTCTGTCCACTGCTCTATCTGGATAATGGCTATACCTGCTGTGTATGAGTGAAAAGAGGAGCCTATTGTATTATTTCTTTGCTTTGTGATTAGCAAATTACTTTTTGCTTAAACTGGGTCATCCCATCTCTTTTTTCTTGCCTGAGCAATTTATCTGCCTCTATCATTTCCTAGATGTTGATATCAATGTCACTTTGCCTTAGATGTTGTCCCTTGAGTCCTTAGAGTTCCTGCTATCTGCCTTCTCTCTGATTATTTGCCATCTACTCTGCAGAATGGCTTCACTCTCCTCCTGCTGTCCATCTTCATCACATAAGCAATATGGTTCAGCTGAACTGCCATAAGCCTTCCCCACTGGGCTTCAGAGAGGAAGCAGAAAGTTTCCTCTGGGTTAGTCAGAGACCTTTAGGGACCTCCATTTACTTCTGATAGCACAAGACAGAGCCTCAAGGCAAAACATACTCATTGCCGTCAGTTTTACTAAGTGGATATTATGAGATGACATTGGCTTCAAAAGTAATCATGAAGGAGACAAAAGACTTCTCTTTTTTTCTGGAGTTTTCTTCCACTCTTTGTCTCTTCTTTCTGAATGTGAATTTCCTTCTGCACAGATTACCAGGGGATTAATTTTAAAAATTCAACCAAATTAATTATAAATCCAGGCTGCATTTTAAGGCACGCTAAGCTCTAGTAATGGAAAAGTCCGGAAGAGGCCATTGAGCTCCTTTGTCTTCCTTGCGAGAGGGAGGATCCTTCAGCATCCCAAACAGATGGGTTTTGAGGCTACTTATGGGTATCTTGTAAAACAGGGAGTGGGAGGAGATGTGGCTTATGGTAGATGGGTCTGTTTTTAACAAGTAACAGTTAGTAGTAATGAGGATTGTACACTATTAATAAAACAGCTAAGGAAAGGACTGGAGAATTATGATAGCTAATGGTCTGAAGAACATTTACTATAAACCTGATTTTATGATACATTTTAGAAGAGCAGTTTGATCGTCAATATTCACTCTCTCATGACATGTTGCACATAAAGTCTGATCCCAGGAACATCTTTAAAATACCTTCTAAAATTATAGAAGATAAGAAAAAATAGCTTTCATATGCCGGGGAACTTCTCTGAGGATTTTGCCACTCTTGAAGTAAGAACCTTCCATCAAATTATTACCACTAAAGATTTACCCTTAGGGAAAACTCGTAGAGAAGTGAAAAGGTCGGCCCACAGAATAATATTTAAACTTCTGAAAAAAAATGAGACATTCAGTTAGGTGGTAGGTGGCTCACAGGTGTCTTGGTTTTGAATTTCATGATAATCACAGGGCGTTTTTGTTATCGGTAAAGTGTTTGGTCTTTTAGTTACATCTTTAACTTATGAGGAAAGTTCGCTGTTTTCTGCTCACAGGTGATGGCAACTATCGGTTGACTCTTCCTCTGAGTCGTCAATGTTACTGAACATTCTTTCACTCCACCCCAGGCACTGTGGGCAGAGCTGTGATTGCAAGCATGGCTAGTAAAATCAGTGCAGAGATATTTTCCTTCCATTATGCCCCTAGTTTCTCAGGGCATATTTTAATTTGGAATAAATTGTCCTAGCTTCCCTTAAACCAGAAACAGAAGAACTTCATTGTATTACAACTCAAATTGCTGTTTTTTCATCTCAGGAGCAATTCCTAATTCAGTCTGAACTGAACAATGAAGAAATGTGTTGAAGAAGGGAAGATGAATACCATATTTAGAACTTTTAAGTTTTCTTTAAATGAAATCTTCAGTATGGGATTTTGTAATTATTTTTTGCTTTGCGTATACTCCCAAAACATAAACCACACTTGTATTCAGAGTAAGTATGAAAACAAGAAAACACATCCCAGTGGTATATATACTTTTTATTTGTGGGTTACTTGCTGTTTTCTACCATATCTCTTCTTTCTGCCCCTTTTTGTGTTCATGATCTGTAAACGATTTGATTAACTCATAGCTTGATAAAATACTTTTATCATGTATTCCCCAAATATCTTTATATATATTTATGTATTTATGCATTAAATATGCTTACTATTATATTAATATATGTACATTGAAATATGTACAATAATTTAAACATAAGCTAAAAATGTATTTTAAATATCTTGCCCATGTATATGTGTGTATTTTTTTTAAGGGATGGAGTCTACCTCTGTCACCCAACCTAGAGTGCAGTGGCACAATCAGAGCTCACTGCAGCCTTGAACTCCTGGTCTTAGGTAATCTTCCTGCTTTGGCCTCAAAGCACTGGGGTTAGAGATTTGAGCCACTGTACCTGGTCTTGTTTCAAATATATCATTTATTAAGAGCTATGATATTTATTTATTGATAGTATCATTTATTAATAGCTTAAAACTATAAAACTGTAGAGTTTTATGGTTTCCCATCTTAACAAGAGTTAAGACAAGAGTAACTGTCAGCCATAGTAAATGTAAATTCATATTTTATTTTTTCCTTTAAAAACGGTTTGTTACTGACACATAATAATTGTACATATTTATGGGGTACATAATGATGCTTCAATGCGTACAATATATAGTGATCACATCGGGATAATTAGCATATTCATCCCCTCAAACATTTGCTACTTCTTTGTTTTGGAAACATTCAGTATCTCCTAGCTGTTTAAAAATATGTATTATTAACTATAGTCATCTTACAGTTAGTAAGTGCTACAGAACACTAGAACTTAGTCCTCCTTTCTACATGTATTTTTGTATCTTTAAGAAGTCTCTCCCTATTACCCCCACCCTCCTTAGCCTTTAGTATATTCTATTTTTACCTCTATGACATCAACTTTTTTAGTGTTTTATATATTTTAAGTTTTATCGATATATATTTTACTTTTTTTCTGAGTACATATGCTAATTTTGTACATTCATATAATGTGTAGAGATCAAATTAGGGTTACCAGGCTATCCAGTTTTTTGATATTTAAATGAAATATTTATTTTTGCTTTATGCTAGGAACATTCAATAATTCAAATTATTCTCTTCTGTTTTGAAATGTTCCGTAGGTTGTTGTTAACTATAGTCATGCTACTGTTCTACCAAACACTAGGTCTTATTTCCTCTAGCTAACTGTATGTACTCCTTAACCCAACCTCTTTTTATAGTTTCCTCTCCGCTATCCTTCCTGGACTCTGATAACTGCCAATCTTTCATTATCTTCATGAGATTCACTTTTTAAATTTCCACATGTGAGTTAAAATAATACAATATTTGTCTTTCTTTGCTTGACTTATTTTTCTTAACATAATGTTTTCTTGTTCTGTCCATGTTACTGCCAATGACAGTTTCATTCTTTTTTATGATATTCCATTGGGTATTTATAGCACAGGTTCTTTTTCTCTCTCTCTTTTTTTTCTTTTTTGAGCCAGAGTCTCACTCTATCACCCAGACTGGAATGCAGTGGTGTGATCTTGGCTTACTGCAAACCTCTGCCTCCAAGGTTGTGATTCTGTCACCTCAGCCTCCTGAGTAGTGGGACTACAGGCACATACCACCATGCCTGGCTAATTTTTATATTTTTTTGGTAGAGACAGGGTTTTACCATGTTGTTCAGGCTGGTCTTGAACTCCTGACCTCAAGTGATCGCCCATCTTGGCCTCCCAAAGTCCTTACAAGGGGGAGGCAGTGTGCCTGGCCTCGTATAGTCTTTACCTGTTCATCTATTGTTGGATACTTAAGTTGATTCCTATCTTGGCTAGTGTGAATAATGCTGCAATGAACATGAGGATGTAGATGTCTCTTTCTTTTCCTTTGGATAAATGCCCAGTAATGGGATTGCTGGATTAAATGGTAGTTCTACCTGTAGTTTTTTGAGGAACTTCCATACTATTCTCCATACCAGTTTACATTCCCACCAACAGCATGCAAGCATTTCCTTTTCTCTACATCCTTCCCAGCATTTGTTATTTTTTGTCTTTTTGATAATAGTCGTTCTAA